TCCCGGCCGGCCCCGGGCGCCCCCTCCGCGCCGACGCGCCCGGACCAGCCCCGGGGCAGCGCGGAGCGCGGGCAGGCCGCGGGCGCCTGGGAACGGGGCGGGAGCCGCAGCCGGGGCGCCTCCGCCGTGCCCCTGCGGCGCGCTTCCGACTGAGGCGGGGATCGCCGAGCGCCCTCTCCGCCCGGCCGGCCCCGCAGTCGGGCAGCGGCGCCCCGTCTTGCGGGGGAGAACCCCGGCCCGGACGCCGCAGCGGGCAGAGCCCCCGGCCGCTGCCGTGTTCCGTCCGGGGTTGCCGGGGCCCTCGGCGCATCGCCGACGCGGCTCCTCACTCGCGGCGCCCCGAGGGACCCAGGCGGCGCGGCGCCCCGGCGGAAGCCTGTCGAGGGAGGGCAGGTGGGCGCCGCGCGGTGCGCCCTCCGCGCACGCGGGACGTGGTCGCCGGGCGCCGCTCCTGCGCTCTTCGGCGCAATCCGCGGCTGGGCGCGCTTAGCCCGCCCGGGTATCCCCGCTGCCTTTCCGCCGCGTGTCCCTCCGGAATCTGGTCAGACGCGCAGCGGAGTATAAATCCTGCGGGCGAATGAGGCTGCTGCGCCAGGCGGGGAAGAGGGCAAAGTCAAGGCCGTGCCCAGCCCCGCTGGAGCCGCCCTGGCTGGGGCGTCTCCTCTCGGCCAGCAGCCGGGCAAAGTGCTCTCCCGCCTCCCCTCCTCGGCGGCAGCCCTCCCCCCCCCCGGTTTAGGGGGCCAGGCGCTGCTGTGCCAGCCCCCTTCCTCTCCTTCCTGGGCGCGAGGTGGAGGCTGCCAACTCTGTGTGCCCGGCCGAACAGCCCGCCCACCCCCTTTCCCGGCCCGCGGATGCCGAGGCTGGGCCGGGTGGGCGGCTGCTAAAGGAGAGGGAGCCCGCGGAAGGGGCCGAGCCCACGTGGGCGGCTGGCGAGGGGGCTGCAGGGGCAGGTGGTCAACCGGAGAGCCTGCGCCAGCGGGCAGGGCAGCACCAGGGGCAGCCCCGTCAGGCGCCCCCGAGGACGCAGTTCCCAGGAGCCAGCGTGGCGTGGTGGAGGAGAGTGTGGGGCGGGGAGTCGGGCGGTCCGGGTTCTGGTCCCCACTCAGCCCTGGAGCTCATGGGTGACTGGGCCAGACACAGATGCTCAGCCTGACCTACCTCGCAGGGCTGTTGTCGTGAGGACAAGGAGGAGAGGAGCAAGGGAATGCCTCCCTGTTCTCTGGCAGGGTTCTGGGCTGGCACCAGGTGCGCGAGGAGCTGAGATCCTGCCCGGGCGGCTGTGGGAGGGATGCCGGGGCCGCGCGAGGGGGGCGGAGGGGGAAGGCGCTGCCTCTGCAGATGCTGCAGGGTCTCCAGGAGGTCACCTGCCGCGAGAGAGGCTCCCCTGCCCAGCCGGTGCCCTCCTGGAGTGCCGTCCGCCTGCGTGGACTTGGGCCGCCTGCCTCGGGTTACTGATTTCTCTGCTCCGTCAATTATTACACTAGCCCTGCCTGTTACTCTCCCCCTTCCAAGGAGCCTGATTGTGGGGCTGGAAGCAGCCCTCGCAGCAGGTCTGGGGCCCTGGTCTTTCAGACACGGGGAGCACCCGAGGCCGGGTCAGACGAAGGTCTCTCCCATCTGGCGCCCTGTTCGCACAGCGGCCAGCCAGATGCTCACGGGACGGGGTGCAGCGGCACCGCCTGCCCCACTCTGCCCCTCTGAGTGCAGAGGGCCGTTGGGGCCGGTAGCCACGGAGAGCCGTCTCCTCCAGGAATCTGCCCCCCGCCCCTTCAAGGCAGTCCAGGCCGGTGGCCATCCTGTGGAGGCGCATTTTAACTCCGTGCCAACCAAAGGGCTTGGGGGTGCTGCCCCTTGGAGGATGTGCCGTGAGGGGCATGTGGGGCGCGCTTGCCCAGCTGCTGCTGCGCCTGGAGGATGCAGCCCCATGGGGAGAGGGGTGCAGAGTCACTGGGATCCGGCTGAGCCCCCAAGCTGCCCTGACGGTTGCAAAAAGGGCCCGTTTCGGCCGGGGCCTGTCCACGGATCTCCTCGGGACAGAAAGCAGCAGCACCCTCCTGCCGGTGTCCCCAGCAGCTGGCTTCTGGTGGCCTGCTGTCTCTGGCCGTGAGGCCCCACCCAGCCACGACGACCCGTGGCCATGGGTCGCCCGCTCCGTGGCAGAGCTCCCGGTGTTTCTGCACCACGGATGCGCCCACGGCCACAGCCTGGCCTCTGGGGTCCCCCGCTCAGCCAGGAAGGATCTGGGCACGTGCGCAGTGGCCTCGTGCATGGAGCAGAAGAAACCAGTCTGCCCAGCGCGAGCCGCAAAGAGCAGGAGGCTGAGCTAGGCGGCGCCTCAGAGGGGCAAGGCGGGCAGTCCTGAGGGGCCAGCGGCTCCACTGTGGTCGCTGCCACAAGCCAGCGCAGCTCCTAGTGTGGACGTCGTGCATGCGAGCAGCACCTCCGCTCATTGCCAAACCCTCTGGGCGGGAAGCTCAAGGGGAAAGCACAGGTCGGGGGGGCGCTTCCACGCCACGGCACTGGCCCCATTGCACGCCACTGCCACCCAATGCGCAGGGCTGACCCAGCACGGACGTGGCTTGCAGGCCGGTGGCGTACGGCCGCCATTCTGCGGAGCCACGGGGACGAGGCGCACCGTGGCTCCGAGCACAGGGCTTGGCTTCCCAAGAGCCTCCATTTCCCCCTGGGGAGGCGGCACGGACACGGGAGCCCACATGCTGGCTCAGCCCCAGCGGGGAGGGGCCCGTCGTGTGGCCTTCCGCCCCTTCTGCAGACTCCTGGCCGTGATGGCGGTGCGCGTGCACTGAAGGCACCCATGCAATGCGCAGAGGGCTGGGCTGCTGGCGGACGTGCGCACGGCCAACTGGGAGGGACCTGGCTTGGCTTGGCTCGGCTCGGCTCGCAGAAATGACACAGGCTGCAGAATCTGGCAGCATCCTGCGTGCAGACGTCAGCTTTTGTTTAGCGCAGGGGAAGACAAAGCCCGATCGCAACTGTGGGATATCAGAAGGCACAGCCTCGTCTCTGTGCCCCCCGCTGCCTTTGCCCCTGGGCTGCCTTTCCCCATGCAGGGGTGGGGGCTGCCGGGGCCTAGCCTCATTTGGCTGCCCTGCCAGCTGCCTTCTGGGAGCTCCGGAGCATGGAAGCATAGAAACAGAGTGAGTCAGAAGGGGTCTCCCAGGCCATCTAGTCTGACCCCCGGCTCCAGCCGGCTCCGCTCACGACATGCCCACTATGGATCGGAGCAGGGAGTCCAAGGGGGGGCGGCTTGCATCCGTCTTGGCGGCTCCCAGTCCTGCCCGGCGGCGATGACATCAAGCACAGAGACACTCCAGCATTGCCAAACGTACTTTTCTTGCCCAGCCGCTCCGCACAGGCGGGGCCGGCTTATTCCGACACGTCCACAATGAGAGGAGCCATGTAGTCCGAGTGGCGGATCCCGAAGGTCAGGCCACCGCGGTTCTGGGGGTACTGCAGGGGAGGGGAGAGGAGCGGAGAGGAGAGGTGGCTGCCTCTGCCGAGGGGCTGCACCCAGTCCTGCCCAGGGCCTGCAGAGGGGGGGCTCCAGCAGGGCAGGGCATGTGCAGCTGCCAGGATCCCATGGGTGCTGCAAAGGCCCTGCCCCCCCAGAGCTGCCCCCCTCATGAGGGCCACCGAGGAGCCAGGGAGCCCTGCTGAAGGCCCGGCCGAAGGGGCAACTTGCCGGACGAGGCTAGGGTGACAAGAGTGACCCACATGGGCCGTGGCAAGAAGGCCCTGCCACGGGTCACGGCGGTGGCTTCCTCCAAGGCACTGGAGTCCGGGTGCTGAGCCCTTGGCAGGTGCCAGGAGTCTGTGACCGAGCCCCCAGGTGTCCCAGGACGGCAATTCCCAGCGTCCTGGCGGTGGCGGCCAAGGAAGTTACAGCGGCCGAGCCTGCCCCTTCTCCGCGCTCGCTCGCTCGCTCATGGTGCGATCCGCCACTCGCGTGGAAGCTCCTTTGCCCTTCGCACAGTTTGTGGTGCAAGGGCAGGGCAGGGGCAGGTCCCGGGCAGGGGCTCCGCATCAACCCGCTGGGAAGGGGCACCCTGGCAACACGCAGACACAGCGTGCACCCCGCCTTCGCCCTCGTGCTGCTCCGCACGGCATGCCGGGCAGGGCAGAGGCGTGGGGCTGCCACGAGCCACGTGCGAGGGGCGGCTGCCTTCGTTTTCCTTTCCCGCAGCGCCAGGCAAGCAGCCCCCGGCCGGCCGGCCGGCTTCCACAGGGGGCACCTGCCCCGGGATGTCAGGTCCCTCCAGCTTGGAAATGAAACGGTAGCCAAGCCAGTGCAGAGCAGCAAACACCGCAAGCCAATGCCGCATTCCCTGGCCGGGGGGGACCTGAAACCTGTGCCCGGCAGTCCTGTGCAATACTTGCGCCTGGTGGCATGGAGCTGAACTGAACTCTCAGACGCTTTGAAACTCACGGGGTTTTGAAAATGGCCCCCTTGGCCAGAGGCTTGCCTGGCGCCAGACCTGGCACCTTCTGGGCACCAGGCGAAGACTTTCTTCTTTGGAGAAAATGGGAGCGCTGGAGCGCCACCGCTTCCAGGAGGCCGTTTCCGCAGCAGCCCGCAGCTTCCCCCGGAGCCCACAGCTGGACCACCCCAGCCGGGGCCCAGACAAGCGGGGCCCCATTCTAAGGCGCCCTTTAAAGCCATCACGGCTGACGGCCATCCCTGCATCCTGGGGCGGGAATCCGAGGTCACCTACCCCATCCCTTCTCCCCTCTGCCACCCAGGCTCACGCAGCCTCCGCAGGATCCAGGTGTGGGCCCCCTCCCCACCCGAGCCCCGGCTTTTCAGGGCTCCTTCGCAGGGGACTCCAGGAGCAGTCTGGGAGCCAGGAGGAAGCGGGGCTCAGCCACAGCCCAGCCCACGTGCTCCTGGATCAATGACACCGAGGCCGTGTGTGGCTTGGCCTCTTCTGGGGACCTAGCCCATAATATCCTCAGTGTTGAATGCCCACCCCAAGCACCACAGGCGGCTCACCCTCCCCGGCTCACCTTCTCGGGACTGTAGGCCCCCGGGCCTGGCTTTACCGTGTTGTCCCCTGGAGGCATATTCCGCGCGAGGATGCTGAAGTGCGGCGGGCGGGTCTTGTACACGCTGGGGTCCACCATGCGGTAGTTGCAGGGCCCCGGAGTCTGCCGGGCAGGGGGGACGGGGTCATGGGCGGCCCTTGCTGGGAGGCGTCCCTCTGCCCCCTGGCCCCCAACCACCGCGCTTGCACTCCCGGCCTCCCACGCCACCCTCGTCTGTCCCAGGGACCCATGGGCGTGCAGCGCCCGGGCACAAGGAGGGCAAGGGAGGCCCCGCTCCCCGTCCTCGTGTTCGCAGCGCGGTGCACGGAGGGCTTTTGCTCCCACGAGCTCCGCCATCACCACGTCCTCCTCGATGGAGCGCAAATGCTCTCAAGGTGCTCCGTGACGCGGCTCGCTCACAGAGTGGGAAGAGGCGGCACGGCACGGCCGCCGCAGGGAAGGGGAGCTCCTCGTGAGCCCCTGCCTCTTCGCAGGCGGGACAAGGAGAGATTTTGCCAGAGCTGAGCTGCCAAACACAGCTTCCTTCGTGCCCCCGCCGGCGAGCCGAAGCCGGCGTCTCGTCGGCGTTGAGGGCGGACGGCAAAGCAAGGGGGCGTTTGGCGTATGCATCCCGGCCTCTTATTCTCTTCGAATGCGCTCCAAATCACGGCGCGTGCAACTGCCCCCGTTTCTGAGTTTTCCTTTTCTCAGCTGTGCTTAGCGTCGGGCCAGCGCTGGGGAGACGCGGGTCCTCGGCCAGGACCCCTTGGCGAATCCCCGGCTGCCTGCCTCACAGGGCTGTTGTGAGGGGAAGGCCCTGGGGGGAGGACTGTGAGCGCTCCCCCAGGGTCCTTGGAGGCAAAGGCCCGGCCCGCAAAAGCCCCGAGTGAGGGCTGCGAGGTCACCGGGGGGGCTGCACCTCCCACCTCCGGATCTCAGGCCGGGCAGCCCCTCTGCTCACCTTGCTCAAGTCCTCGTAGAAGCTGCCGACGGCGCTGCGTCCGAAGATGGAGTAGTTGGGGGCCGAGCTCTTGCTGACCAGCTTGGGCCCAAGCACCGGGGGGAGCCCGTAGGCCGCAGGCCCTGAAGCAGGAACGGGGCGGGGGGGGCGGGGGCTCCGTGAACGACCAAGGCGCCGACTGGGTGACTGCGGGCAGCCTCCCCCAACCTGGCAGGGCCCGGGCGTGCGGGAACACAGCTCCCATCATCCCCAAGCGAGCACAGGGGGGCGCGGCCCTGAAGCCTTCGGGAAAGCACCAGGCAGAGCTGGGGGTGGCTGCACCGCCCAAAGGTCTGGGAAGAAAGCGTGAGTCACCTGCCCTGGGGCACCTGGCGGGGGGGGCGGGGCGGGAGGAGCAGCCCTGGCTTGCAAGTCCCGCAGGCGTGTTGGAAGCTGCCCGGGCTGCCTCAGGTCCCGGTTTGTCCTGCCCAGCAGGACCTTCAGGCGGAGCTGCCAGGGCTGCACCCTTGAGCTGTGCCCCGGCCCTCCCCTCCAGACACTCCCCCTGCCAGGCCAGCCCCCATGCCCAGCACACCTCCCCCCCCCCCGTCTGTGCAGGAGGGTGCCCGCAAGGGAGGCGCCCGCCCGCCCGCCCGCCCTGCCCTGAAGCTCCCGAGGCCCCGTGTCCAGGTGACTGGGATGCTGCCCGCTCACCCCTGTGGTGCTGCCCCCGCCTGGCCCAGAGCCTCTCCTTGGCGCGCCTGCAGCTGTGGGATTTCTCTGTCCAAGCAGATGCAGGGCTGCAGACCAGCCAGGACAAGGCGCCCTTCAGACCGAGGGCCGAATTCTGCTTTGGGGACAATCTGGGCAGCTCCTTGCTGGAGAGGGCAGGGCTACGGTGCCATAAAAACGCTTTTGGCTTAAAGCAATTCCAGCTCGCAACTAAACCCAAGGAGTGGCATTCCAACTCTCCCCCACAAAAGCTGGGAATCCGGCAAGGGAGCAGCGGCTGGGGTGCAGGGGGAGGAGGGGGTGTGACCAAGGGCAGGGATGTGGGAAAGAAGCATGGACGCCAGCCTCCCTTTCTCTCTCTCCCTCTCTCTCACCCGGCGTCTGGTCGTTCTCAAAGTCCTTCGTCCGTGAAGCCAGCGAGTAAATGGGGGCAGAGGGGTACGTCCACCTCCCCGCTTTCTCCGGGGAATAGCGACCTGCGGGAAGCAGAGAGAGCCATCCTGAGATCACGGGCGCCGAGGGCTTGTGGATGCGAGACGCCGAGCCCTTCCACGGCCCCTTCCCCGTGCTGAGATGGACCTTCCTGCAAGGGAAAGGCATGCGTGGCGCCAGGGGGCATCCCCGCCCACGCGGCTTTTCCCCATGCCCTGCACAAGTGCCTTTCAGCCGGAATCCCCGGGAACAGACTCGGGTGTCCCTGCCCCGTGCCATGCCGGGGAGAGCAGCTTTTCCCGCTTGTGGGTTCCCCCCGGGGCCGGGGAGCGCATCAGCCGCAGGCCGGAGCACCCGCCAGGCCGCCGTGGGGAGGGCTCCAGCACGGGGCCGGCACACGGAGGCCACGCTCTCTGCTCGGCCTCCTGCACTCTGAGTGTGTGCCCAAGACCATGTCCCGCATCCGCTGCAACGCGCAAAGACGGCCGGCACTCGCGGGGACCCAGGCCAGGCCTACAGGGACGAGGCCGGGGCGAGCCTGCCTGACTTTGCTGGCGCCCCGTAATCCCCAGAAGCCAAAGAGGGAGGCCGTTCGCTGCTTGGCCCCAGCCCCCATGCCCCGGGAGTCTCACCGGGCCCCGGAGTCGTGAAGGTGGCGACATCCCTGGGCCGCCCGTAGATGGAGTACGCGGGGATGCCGTCCCTGCCCCTCATGGTCATGTTGGCCGGCACCAGGTAGCCCGGGCCGGGCGAGCAGCTCTCTTGCACCTGGAACCGGCGGGTGCCGAAGCTGTACGCGGGGGCACGATAGCGGGAGGGGTCGTGCTGCTGAAAGCCTGTGGGGGGGGGGGGGAGAAGACGACGTCAGTGGCTCTCTTTTTTGCAAGCAGCCATGGATACACAGTTCCTGGTGTGTGTCCACTCCTTTTCGCCCTGACCATCATCATGAAATGTCAACAAAAGTGCGTGTAGCCAAGGCTCTGGTTTTCCCAGTTGCAATGCATGGCTGTGAAAGCTGGACCATAAGGAGGGCTGAGCGCTGAAGGATTGAGGCCCTTGAATTGCGGTGCTGGAGGAGATGCCTGCGAGTCCCTTGGACCGCAAGGCGATCAAACCGGTCAGTCCTAGAGGAGATCAACCCCGACTGCTCTTTAGAAGGCCAGATCCTGAAGGTGAAACTCAAATACTTTGGCCACCTAATGAGAAGGAAGGACTCCCTGGAGAAGAGCCTAATGCTGGGAACAATAGATGGCAAAAGAAGGAGGGGGCGGCAGAGGATGAGGAGGCTGGATGGAGT